TAACGGAATGGATTTGACGTTGCACAGAAACTAAGAATGTAAGTAATTATAAGGCAAGTGTGTGGGCCTCCCTGGTGACACATGGGGTGAAGATGCAACTGTGAAGCTATCCGCAGCCACTGCAGCATGAGTTCCATCTCCGGCCAAGAAGCTACCCACATGGCACAGCAGACCTCTCCTGACTCGCCCGCTGCTCCCCTCAGCAGTGTATTTCAGTGGATCTGCCTGTTCTGCTCCCCACTCTGTCTCTGGTGAATCCTCTCACCCCCTGCACCTCTGGCCTGTACCCCAGTTCTCATATGCATAAATAAATACATCTTTAAAAAAAAAAAACAAAACAGGCAAGTATGTGTATATCTTCTCACTTTCTTTGGCGATAGACCCGCATCCTTAGGCACACTCTCTGCCAACTGGTGAGCGTATGGATGGACTAGTACAAACCCAGTTACAGAGGCTGATAGGCATGTCAGGAGCATCACTGGAGGATTAGACGAGTAGTCCCCTTGTCCCCCTTAACTGAACATTTATTGCACTAGTACTTTCTGAGTTTCTCTCTAGGCAACTAGTCTCTTCTCACATAGAGACATTGAGGTGGAAATAAAGTCCATTAGGTAGTAAACATGTTTTAATCCATATATAGAAATAAATATTGGTTTCCTTCTGTCCGCAAATGTCTGTCTCTAAGAGTTTCCCACAATCTTTAGTCTCTGACTTGAGGGAAAAACATTCCCTTTGTTACTAATTCTGCTGCCTTTCCCTGCCTTTTCAAAGTCATCAAAGCAAGGTCTTTAATGCTTGAATCTCTCTGAAGTGCCTTGTAATGAGCTTATTGTTTGGGCAAAGGTAACTTGACATTCCCATCTCTAATCAATAGCTAGCTTTCAAAGCATTGTTAGTTTTGAGTGGCTCTAATTGGATCTCCAAATGTGTTCTGGGCTGATCTGAGGCTTGCCAGGCAGCGTGCTTCCATTTCTGCACATGGGCCCAAAAGTGGAGTTGCTCACCTCTTCAGAAAATCAACAGAAGTCAGAGTGATCGCAATCAATTGGGAAGACAGTCGAATAGTCTGAGGGTTTAAAAGCCCATGAAGAAGTTAACAAAACGGTCTCCTAGACTTCCAAGAGAAAACGAGTGGCTTGAACAGAAGTCAACAACCCAGCGTGCTTGCCCTAGAAAGAACTCATCAAGAAACTGGATTATTATGGATTCAAACAGTCCTAGACTCCAACCCCCAACAACCTAAGTTCCTCATTTATAAAATGAAGACGATGGTGTCCCCTTCATCAGGATTGTGGGGGTCATGTGAGATCGTGCCCTCCCCCTTACCAGACTCTCTGAGTTGACGCTGTCATGAGTGCTGTCCTCTGCTTGAGTTACTGCCCTTGCCTGAATATCTCCTTCAATCTTTTCAGTCAATCCTCACTCTCCTTCAAAACTGAATTCTTCCAGAAGGTTTGACCCCAGGCTAATTGCTTCCTAGACCAAGTTCATCTTATCTGTGAATGTGTCTAGTTTCTAATGCATTATTCTACTCATTTATGAGGGGCATTCATGGCTTTGTGACTGTCTTTTATTTCCATGCCTTATCTTTAAAGTTAAATTGTAAATTCCTTGGCAACAACTATGTCTCCTGCCTTTCTGATTGTATTCTCCATTCTTTTGTACCTATTATACAGTTGTGTCAAGTGACTTCCCAAGGCCACACAGGTAGGAGGTGTCAAAGACGGTGCACAAGCATGGCTTTGCCACCTCCAGGCAAGCGGTCTTTCTACACAGCCAAAGCTGTTATGTGCAGAATCATTGGAGGATATTTGGCAACTGCATTCCTGAAACCTGTCTGGTTATGGCTCAGCATCCCTGGGTTTAGAGTGGAATTGATCTGGTTAAATAGCAAGATGAGGAGGGAAAAAGCTAGTTGATTATAAAAGTATGGACCTACATGGCATGTGTGTGTTTGTATGAATATCTGTACTGTGTCTAAATGTATGTGTCTGCATATTCATATACACACATTAGTGAGTGTAACACTATACGGACACCATTTGTGCAATATAGCATTAAATTCAGGATTGACTAAAAATACTAACAGGGTAGTCTAATAAACAGGTGCTTAAATTATCAGGTTTTATGGTAGTTTCTTCCCTCCAACCTATATTTCCAACTCTTACAAATAAAATAATTCATCATGTTATCCAAAGAAGCAGATATTACTTTGTTCTTCCAGAGGCGACTGGAGAAACAAAGAGATCTAATAATGAGAGAAGAGGAGAGTGACTTTACCAACAGGCCCAGGACTCAGGACTCAGACCCAGCCCGGATCCAGCTGAGTCAGTTGCTCAGACCCCAGGCCTGCGGTGTCTCCAGAGTGGCACATGTCACTTCTCTAGCTACACAGCTGACAGGAGCCTGGCAGTGGCCAGAAAAAGAGCCAGGCTTTGTCCGATAGGGCTGATGGACTTGTCCAATTCAGAAGCTACTCTGCTTCGATAGAACAGTGAGGTGTATAATTCTCCCAGAAATGACCCAGGTGATTCTTAGGCCCAGGCTTGGATTAAAAGTGCCCCAGGGTCATTGCCATAGAAATTAGGCTGCTTCCAATCTGTCTTTCCCTCTCTTCATCCACTGATGGAGATTGAACTGGGACCCATCTAAAACTGAGATTCAGATCTTAAAGCACCCTTGTGTTCTCAGAAAAGAACCTCTTTGGAGTAAAAACAACTCTGGGTTCAAATCTTGACTTTGGGACGATGGGCAAGTTACTATACTTCTTGAGCTTTAGAGTGGTGGATTTGTGAAATGAGAAGAATAATTGCTATGCCCAGAAGGTTATTGTGAAGATTGCAGAAGTGCTGGAAGTACGTGGCACAGAGAAAACCATTGATACAGATCACCCCCCATCCGCTTCTCCCAGCACACACCCTGGTCTCTGCCCCCAAATGAGCCAGGCCAGGAGGATCCAGACTCAATGGGGAATATTCTAATCCCAGGAGGTCACCGGCTCTAGAAGAACCCTGATGCCCAGCTACATCAGCACTGCAGAAGAAAGTCTTATTTGACACTGCCCAGATCTTTAAGAGATATTTGAATTCCGCAGGTCAGGAAGCCATTTAAGAGAGAAACGAGAGGAATGGCAAAGCTCACCATTGCTCATTCTCTCTGAGAGAATCTTTAAGAAACAGTCTTTCACTTGAAGCAAAGAAGGTTAAAACAGAATTTACCAACTCGTGGAGTCCAGGCAAGCAGATTAATGGCCCTAATCACTAAAGCCAGAAATGGGAAAAAGAGCAAATTTGCATTAGAGAGAGAGGAAGGAAGATTGAATTTAAGGCAAAGCTTCTCTAGAACATTATAAAACACTGAGATGGGCATCCATGGAAGCATATGGATTTTCTTTTTCTGTAGCGCTATTGAAAACCGAAAGCTCCTCTCTGGATGGGAAGAGGTACTGACCTGACTGAGGTCAGTCTGCCCCCGAGAATTTGAGCAGGAGAGAGAGAGGGGGTGGGGAATAAAGCAGGGGTAGTTTTGGAAGCTGGAAAGCACCAGGTAAGGCACTGCTAGAACTAACATTTGAGTAACAAGGGACTGGAGACTTGGAACCGAAATGCTAGGGGCCACGAGGCCCGGAGGGAGAGCAGAAGCAGAGGGGAGGGAAGGAAACAACCCATTTTATCTCCAAGTCACTGATGCCGCAGCACCAAGGGTGAACCACCCTAAGTCCCTTCTGGAAGCCTCGGTTTCTTTTCTGTAATAGGAAGTGCTGGGATTAAACATTCTCTTGAGTCCCTTCCAATTTTGGTGTGTGTTTAAAAAATTGATGCAGAGAAAATGTGAAGACATCTGTGAAAAGCCCCCTCAGCCCCAAGCCCAGGCCGCTGGAGGTGGGTGAGTGCTGCTGAGACCACCGAGGGCCAGGCGTCTGCAGGGGTGAAGATGCCTGTTGTGCTGGTCTTGGAATGAAACAATTTTTAGCCTCTGTGTTTCTAGCTAATGAATTTGTGGACTACACTGCAATCAAAGCCTGCAGCTTCTTGTGGCGGGGATGGAGTTTGTTTTTAACACCCTGGCCCTTTCTTGCTTTAGCAGAATGAATCCCACATCATTCGGCGTCCCTGAATTTTATATTAAAACACACACAGCCCATGTTTACTTCCCTCCCTGTCTCTACCCAGCCCGCACTTTCTAACGTGTAAAGGACAACTGGGGGAGTGTTTCGCGGCTTCTGGGTGCCGGCGACTTCGAATCGCTCTCTGCCTGGGTAGCCGGCGCCTGCGCCCGGGCTCCGCGGGGTCCGGTCCGCCCAGCTCCCCGGCTCTGCTGTTGATGTCACCGCTCCGGCGGTTCTCGTGGACACCCCGGTCTATCCCTTTCCAACGTCATCTGCCCTTTAAGTGTGTTCAGCCCGAAGCCCCCCGTGCGATGCTGCCGAGGCCGGGCCACCCACCCCAGGCTCGCCCCAGCGGAGGTGGGCTGCGCCGGGTCCCTGCAGCCCTCGGCTCCCCCGGCCGGAGGGTGCAGTCTCCTGCGCCAGGGTGGGGCACCAGGTCGGGCGCGGCCTCCAGCCTTTTGGGTTCGCCTCCCCGCAGGGGACGCCGTGGGCGGCGGTGCGGTTCGGGCGCTGCCCCCCGCCCCCCGCGTCCGGCCGCGCCGTGGGCTGCGGTCTCCGTGGGGGTGGCAGCTCCCGTCCGGGAGGTTTGCGCCTGGCGGGGCACCCCGGAGCCACGGGGAACCCAGAGGCGAGGCCACGGCGGGGTGGGGCGCGCCCGGGCGGGGAGGGCGAACTCGGGCGGCGCAGGGGGCGCCGAGGGCAGCGGGCGGGCGGACGCGCGGCGAGCGGCGCGCGGGCCATGGGCTGGCGGGTGCCGGGCCGCCCGCCCGAGGGGGAGGAGGCTGCGCTGCCCTTGCTGCAGGTTCGCTGTCGAGCGCACAGGGAGGCTGGGACATGGGCAGGGTGCGGTCTGCGCGGGGCCGGAGCCCGGATCTCTTCCATTTCCCCTCTCACTCGGCCCCGGGCCGCGCCGCAGACGGCAGCAGCTCCCGCTCCGCCCGCGCCGCCTGACCGCCGGGCCGGGGCGCTAACCGCGGGGCCCGCCAGCCCGCCGGCCCGGCCAGCCCAGCCCAGCCCGGCGGCCCGCAGCCCCGCCGCCCGCCGCCCCCCGCCGCCGCCGCGTTGCCAAAACAAACGGGCCGGCCTATTTATTGGCGGCCGGCGAGCCGGGCAGCTCAGAGGCGAGGCGCCGAGGGGGACCGCGCGCCGCCACCAGCCAGGGCCCCGGGCCCCCGCCCCGCACCTGAGTCCCGGCGCTCGGCCGCCGCGCCTCGCCGCCCATGGCGCCCCCCCCGGAGCCCCCCGGAGCCCCCGAGCGCCTGAGCCCCCGCCGCGCTCCGCTCGACCCGCCCACCCCGCAGCCCACCCGGCGCCCTCGCCCGCCGCTCGCCCGGGCTCCCCGGCCATGTCTCCCGCCCGGCTCCGGCCCCGACTGCGCTTCTGCCTGTTCCTGCTGCTGCTGCTGCTGCTGGTGCCGGCGGCGCGGGGCTGCGGGCCGGGCCGGGTCGTGGGGAGCCGCCGGCGGCCGCCGCGCAAGCTCGTGCCGCTCGCCTACAAGCAGTTCAGCCCCAACGTGCCCGAGAAGACCCTGGGCGCCAGCGGGCGCTATGAAGGCAAGATCGCGCGCAGCTCGGAGCGCTTCAAGGAGCTCACCCCCAACTACAACCCCGACATCATCTTCAAGGACGAGGAGAACACGGGCGCCGACCGCCTCATGACCCAGGTGAGCGCGACCCGCCCTCGCAGAGCGCCGCCGCCCCGGCACCGCCACCTGCCCGGCCCTGCCCGCCCCCCTGGCACCTTTTCTCCACCGGCTGGCACGCCCCCTGGCACCTGCCCCTTACGCCAAGCCCCACGGCCTCCTGCCCAAGGTGGGCCGGCCAGGGGTCCCGGCGCCGGCAGCCCCGAGCCCGCCCGAGCCGGAGAAGCGCTCCCCGCTGCCCAGCCCCGCAGCCCGGCGCGTTGGCGGCACCTCTGCCCTGAGAGCCGCCCGCTCGGGTCAGAAGCGGCACCCAGAGGTCCTTCGACCCCGCTGCCTCCCGCACCTCCGAGACCCACGCGGTCCCTCCGGGCCTAACCTTCGCACGGCTGCGCCCCTTTCATTTCGAAGCCGTTCGGCACCCCTGACGCGAAGAAGCTCCGGGCGCCAGGACCCCCCAGTGTTTCTTCCCCACCGCTCTGGGCTCACTGCGCGGCCCCTCTCTGGAGCAGCCTCCCGGCTGGGTCTGGGGTTAAGGAACAGCGGGTCGAGTTGAGCCCCGAGGCGGAGGTGGGACCGGGAACTTGCCCGGCAAGCCCACGTGTCTGTCCCGGGAGCTGAGAGGCGCCGCTGCGGTTGACCGGTCGGGTGCTCGGGTCTTAGGGCTTTGGGGCCGAACTTGGGGGATCCCTGGGCTTGGTGGTGGGGATGAGGAGGGTCGTAATCGTGGGGCTAGGATGCTTCCAAGAGGCAGGGCACAGAGCTACCTAGCAAGTCCTGCGCACTCAGCCAAGGGCCAGGGCTGACTTTCCTCCCTGCAGCCAGGCCTGCAAAGGAGGGAACCTGCACCCCCTTCCTCGGTGACCTCCTGGGCAAGCCTCCGCCTTCTAGGTACTTTAGGGAGAGCAGCAAGACCAAGGCCCTCAGCATGTACCCTGGCGCCGGGGCCGGCCAGCCTGAGTCGGGGCGAAGGTTGGCTGGTGTCCTGGCCCGGGCTGGGCGCCTAGGAATGCAGATAAGGATCCGGGCCACGGGCTGGGCAATCATTGACAGTGTGCGCCCCGGCTCTGGACCCGAGGAGGGGGTGGGGGAAGAGAGGGGCGGGAGAAGGGGCTGGTAATGTGGACATAGGTGGGGGGCTCGAAGCCTGGAAGCAAGGGGCCCCAAAGCATTCCTTCCCTGGGCAGTGAGCGCCCCCAGCCAGGCTGCTGGGCCTGGGAGGACCAGCAGAGACTTGGGTTGCAGCCGTTGTTGGCTTCTGGAGACGGAGTCCAAGGGTCTGTGGGGCCCCGGTTCTGCTCAGTAGGGGTGGGCTGAGGCTTGGCTGCCCACACTTGGCGGTACCGCACACCTCAGAGTCCAGGGCTGTGAAAGGGCCGCTCTCCTTCAGGGCCCTGCCTCCTTCCCCTAGTCATCTGCAGGGTGCCTTGGGCTCCAGCACACAGGTAGCCAGCACCAATGGGTGATCTGTCCTGGAAGTCCCCAGGGTGCAGCTTCCACACCTACCTCACGTGAGGCTTGAAGCTGGCTCCCTGAGAGCAGAAGCTGCTTTCTCTGGTCCCTTCCTAGCTGTAGACAGCGGGAGGTACTAAAGGCTCTGGACTCTGGGAGGACTTTGTATGTGATTATCAACCACTAAACCCTTGCAGTGGGAGACGCTGTGTCACCTTCCATCTGGGCAGCCTGGGTGCCAGCTTTCCCCCAGCCCTTGGTTCCAGGTCTGTGGCATCCTGGTCACAAGTGCTGGCTGAGTTTGGATCATAAGAGGGTCCCAGCACCAATGCTCTATGATGCCAGAGGGATCTAGGGCTGGCCCGGGATTTCCCTCCAACACACCTCCCTGCTGCTGGGCCCTCAGCACCTGCCGCGCCCCCTCGGCCTTGGTCCCCGGACCTCAGCCCTGAGGCGACGGTGACACCTACCGGGCACGCCTGGCCTTGCATGCCCAGCAGGCCAGCCGCAGGCAGTTGGACGTGCTGCCAAGCCCTCCGCCTAGAGGGACCTCCTAGAGACAGCGGGACTAGACCCTGGAAAGGTGCAGCCCCGGCCTTGGCGGATCGTTACCCCGAGTGCGCGCGCGAGCGCACAGGCGGAGGCGGCCGCTTGCTAGAGAAGGGAGCCCGCGAGGGTGTCGGGCTCCTCGTGCCCTCCAGATTTAAGGCGCCACCTTGCGGCCCAGGTCCCTGGGGTGGCCCGAGGCTGGAGCGGAAGGAAGCACGTTGGGGCTCCGATCACTCCCCGCACCCTCCCGGGTTTGCGCCCGCGGCGGTGGGAGAGTCCGGACGCGCCGGCCCTGCCCTAACCGCGCGCCCTCCCCGCAGCGCTGCAAGGACCGCCTGAACTCTCTGGCCATCTCGGTGATGAACCAGTGGCCCGGCGTGAAGCTGCGGGTGACCGAGGGCTGGGACGAGGACGGCCACCACTCGGAGGAGTCGCTGCACTACGAGGGCCGCGCGGTGGACATCACCACGTCGGACCGCGACCGCAACAAGTACGGACTGCTGGCGCGCTTGGCCGTGGAGGCCGGTTTCGACTGGGTGTATTACGAGTCCAAGGCCCACGTGCATTGCTCCGTCAAGTCCGGTGAGCCGCTGCCGGGGGTCTGGGCCCGGGGCCGGGGCCGCAGGGCGTGGGCAGGCGGCTCAGGACCTGCTGGGGCCGAGAAGGCGAAGAGGCCGCTCAGGGGATGGAGGCGGGATCCCCGGGCCGGAGGACGTCGGCGGCGCTCCCCGCTGCTGCTCCTGACCGCCTGCTCTTCCTTCGCCTGGTAGTGCCTGGAGGCGTCTAGGGAGACAGGGCTCTGTCGCAGCGCTGCTGGGTGCTGGCCTTGCGGTCCACGGCCAGAGCCTGCCGCGAGGGCCGAGCCTACAAGCTGCCCAGATGGAGGAAGCCAGGCTGACAGAGGCGCCTCCCCACCCAGCGGTGGGGCAGAATGGAGGCGGCTGGTGGGGCGCGGCCAGGTTGTACCCAGACACCAGCAAGCCTGACCGGGAGTCAGGAGTCCAGAGGTTCGGAACCCACAACCGGCCTGCAGGTCAGGCCCTTCGGGGCACTGTGTACGCTGGTCACAGGGGGTGCAGGCGTCCCCAACCTCTCCCCAGGGTCCTGAAGCTGGGCATTTGGGGTGCAAAGCCAGTCATCAGGGCCAGAATAAACAGAATGGACTCAATAAAGTGGATTTTCCTAGATTGGCCGCCTTGTTGATCAGAACTGGCGGGTACTGGGGCCCTGCCCCGACCCTCAAATCTTGTCATCATCCCTGTCACCAACACTGAACCCAGTCATGGGTGCTTCAGACAGTTCCTGTGTGACTGCCAGCCTGGCCCCACCTGGTGTCCGGTTCAGCCCCTCACACTGGCATCACCAAATGACACTCACAGACCTGGCACACGGACCAGGCCTGCTTTTCACTCTTCTGTGCCGGCGCCCCCACCCCCAATCTTTTCCCTCAGCATTCCCCTGCCAGCTATGTCTCCTTCACGTCACATCTCCCCTCCACCTGCAAACACTGGCCCCTGGCCGCTGCCATTCCTTGCTCCTGACCCCCAAACATTGCTCCCCATGACACCCACTGATGTCCCTGTGCCCTGTCCCCGCACAAGGACCAGAACACGAACCGAAGATGCTGATGTCACCCCGGCCAGTGCCCCCCCATTCCCTGGGCTGATCCTTCACTCGTAAGGCTCCCTAGGAGGCTGGGCCCCTCATTGGCTGGTCTTCCTCTCCCTTCCAGACAGACTCCAAGGGCCAGTTCTGGCATAGAACTTGGGTCAGTGTGAGGGGACAATGTTTGGGGAGCACCTGAGCAAGGGGTAAGAAATCACAGGACCTTCAGACCCCACGGGGATTAAGTGAGGCTGAAGCTTTCTGAGCATCAGGTCATAGCAGACCACTGCCTGATTCGGCTGACACCTGGCCTCTCCCACCCCTTCCCAGCATTTTCAGGATGAAAGGAAACTGAGGGGGGCTTCACCAGGGGTTCAGGGGGGCTCTTTCCCTCTCAACTGGTGGGTATTGGAGCCATGGTGTGTCCTTCTCATTTGCAAAGGCGTAGACTGGGGAGAGGGGCAGAAGATCACATTGAGGGTGGTGAGTTCAGCTGCCTGGGAAGTGGGGGACAGGGGTGAGGATAGGGTGATAGGGGCTCTCTGGGAGAAAGAGGTGTCCTGGCTGGGCTGGAACTGGGAATCCCAGCTCCACGCAGTAACACCTTCGTGTCCCTTCTTCCACAGAGCACTCCGCTGCGGCCAAGACAGGTGGCTGCTTTCCTGCTGGAGCCCGAGTGCGCCTGGAGAGCGGGGCACGTGTGGCCTTGTCGGCGGTGAGGCCAGGAGACCGGGTGCTGGCCATGGGGGAGGATGGGAACCCCACCTTCAGTGATGTGCTCATTTTCCTGGACCGAGAGCCAACCAGGCCCAGGGCCTTCCAGATCATTGAGACCCAGGACCCCCCTCGCCGCCTGGCACTCACGCCTGCCCACCTGCTCTTTGCCTCCAGCAACCACACGCAGCCAGCAGCCCACTTCCAGGCCACGTTTGCCAGCCAAGTGCAGCCTGGCCAGTATGTGTTGGTGGCTGGGGTGCCGGGCCTGCAGCCTGCCCGAGTGGCCACTGTCTCCACACACGTGGCCCTTGGGGCCTATGCGCCACTGACGAGGCACGGGACGCTGGTGGTGGAGGATGTGGTGGCCTCCTGCTTTGCAGTGGTGGCTGACCACCGCCTGGCTCAGTTGGCCTTCTGGCCCCTGCGACTGTTTCACAGCTTGGCATGGGGTAACTGGACCCCGGGGGAAGGTGTGCACTGGTACCCCCAGCTGCTCTACCGCCTGGGACGTCTCCTGCTAGAAGAGGGCAGCTTCCACTCGCTGGGCATGGCTGGGCCAGGGAGCTGAAAGGACCCTCCTCTGCACTCCAGGAACTGCCCAACTGGTTCCCAGGCCTCCCCGCCAGGAGGGCACTGGCCCTGGAAGGGACCTGAGGAGGGGCACTGGATGCCACCATCTCTGCCACCAGAGATACACCATTGAGACTTGACTGGGCCATGCCAGTGTCCCCCGCCCCAGCTTGGTATCGTGACAGAGCCGCAGCTGAGCTGGCCCGGGAGGGCTGTGGCCTATCTTCCTGTCCTAGAAACCTCAAAACCCGCCCAGCCAGTGCTCACTATGTCTTTTCACACCTGCCTCCCTTCGTGGGGACAACCCGTCCCATCTGTCTTAGGCCCCCCCGTTAGGTGGGCTTGCACCTCAGTTGATGCTGCTAGTTTCCCTGGGAGCCAGCAGGGAGCTGGCTGGACTCAGTGCTGCCCAGAACTGAGAAGGCCTCACAGGCAGCCAGCCTGGCCATCCTGAGGCAGGACCTTCCTCCCTGGCCACACTCCTCGGGACACACCCAGAAACTGCTGCTGTCAGGGCGCAGTCAGTGTGATCACAGGGCTGGGGATGGGGGAGTGGGCTGGCTGTCCTTCCCACCTGCCCAGGCTAAGCTCCCTTTTCTGCAGAACCATCACCCCCACCCCCTCCTCCGGTCAGTCTCCCCCACCTTATTTATTGGCTTGGAGGGGGAAGCCCATGGGAGAATTTTGGGGTTGTTTTGATCTTTTCTTCCTTTTGTAATAAAAATTATTTAAGTTGTTAGAGCCATGGAGTCCAAGGTCCTGAGTGAGGCCAATACAAAGAGGGCCTGCAGCCGGGGGTCTTCCCAGGGTTCACCGTCTCCAGGGTCAAAACCTCCAGAGCTCCTACCCTCTCTGCAGGCACTTTCTCACTCAGTAGCTCTGCAAAGTCCCCATAGAGGTGGGTGCTAAGTGTTAAGCAAGGCCTTTGCAAGCTGACCCCAATGCTTGCCTAAATGTCGTTGGACCCAAGAGAAGGCTGAGGTTACCAATGCTCGGTCACTTCACTCATCTAGAACCATCTCCTTGTGCCCTGATCAAGGTGCTGTCCTTGCCTACCCTCTTCTTTTGGGGGGCCTGGGTTACTGATTCTTCACTGTGAATAATGAAACATGGTATGAAAAGATTCTGTAAGATTCACATTTCCCCTGTGGCCTGTTCAGACCTCTGGGATATGTGAGGATCTATCATCCAACAGTTCTCAAACCTCGGAATCACCTAGGAAACTTGTTTTAAAATGGTTCCTGGTCCCACTTTCAGGATTCTGTTTTAATAGGCCCAGAGCAAGGCCCAGAAACTGATTTTTACAAATACCCCAAACATGGCAGAGTGTCTACGGACCATCCTTTGATAAACATTGCTCAGTTTATTGCTAAGATGGAATGACCCCTTTCTTCCTCTTCTCTTGGTCTCTCCACTCCAAGCTACCTTTTCTGTACATCAGCTGATTCCCTTGCTGTGTCTAGTGGTACAATTATTACATTTTTAAAAAAGATTTATTTATTTATTTTATACAAGAACAGGGGTACAGGCCAGATGCACGGGAGGGTGAGAGGATTCACCAGAGCCAGAGCGGGGAACAGAACAGGCAGACTGATGAAATACACTGCTGAGGGGAGCAGTGGGCGAGACAGGAGAGGTCTGCCGCACCATGTAGGATCCTCGCCGGTCGGCAGGGATTGAACTGGCGCTGCAGAGGCTGCAGACAGCTTCATAGTGCGGCTCTCAACTGCCTGCGCCACCAGGGGAGGCCCATAAAATTATTACATTTTAAGGAATTTTGTAAGCCAGTTGAAATAGGCCATAGTGGGAGTATTTACACCATGGAAATTGGCATATGTTATAAAGGAGGCATCCCCCCACTGAGTGAGTCAGTGATTAAAGCATACCACTGCCCAGGTTCCATCCTCTTGCAGAAATTCCTGTGTTGGGAATGACCCCCAGACCGTTAGTTCCCATTTCCCCACCTTCATGGAGGAAAACTCCAGAGAACTTCATTTCTTGAGGATTCTGTCATCTGGTATGAAATAATCTCCCCCTATGCCCATGTTATAATGACAGCTTCTATCACATACTGACAATGCCTGGCATTGTTCTCAATGCTTTACATGTAAATCCATTTAATATTCATAACAACCCACGCGGTGTACACTTTAATATTATCATTTTCCAGAAGAGAAAGGAGAAGCACCGAGAGGTTAAATACCTTGCCCAAGATTAGGCCGGAGTAACAGAAACAGGATTTGAACCCATGCGTCTGGTTCTCAGGCCCACTGTTTTTACCTTAAGGCTTTTCCCTTGGTGAACTTGGGTTTTCTCCAGAAGGCACTCTCAGCATTTCAGGCCTGGAAGTCTCCTTTGTCAGCACATTGGGAATGGACCCATCTCTCTGTGGCAGACTCTCACCGACCAGGCTCACACGGACACGCATGTTGATGAACTCAGGTCAAGGTCAAGATAATCTTGTCCATTCACTTGCCCTTTGTCTCCCTGTTGATATTTTATCTGGGAGGGAGAAAGAGAATTAGTGAGAGGCTCTCCCCTATGGGGCACCCACCTGCCTCTGCTGCTGGACCTGGGCACACGCTGTGTCCTAAGACACAGCGCCATGTGGCACCCCCAAAAGTTTCTGTTCTAGAAAACACTTTAGTCTTCAGGCAGAGAAGGCTGAAAAGATTCAGAAAGAATTCTTGTCTCTGAATTTAGATCTTCAAAAGACGAACTTTGGGATGGAGTGGGGGCCCTGCAGCTTTCCAAGTCTCCTGGGCTCAGCTCTGAGGAGACCGTGTGATTAAGGAGGCAAGGAGAGACAGTCTGGAAGGTCATCTTCCGCTACTGCAGCATGATGGCCCCAGCCTCTCCCTCCAGAACCAAGCTCTAGACCCCATCCTCTGGACCATGCTGAGGCTCAGAAGCAGGCCTACCCTACGGCCTGGGCACAGGTAGCTACTGACCCACTGCTGCTTCCCTCTCAGGCCACGCTCAGCCCCAAGGCTGTTCCATCCCCAACTGTGATCTTCATTCTCCCAGTCATATACTGAACACCAATGAGTCAGGCGCTGTGCTGGTGTGGAGGAGAGAGGCATTCAGGGGCCCTCAGTGAAACCCTGGGACGGAGGGAGCAGTTAGGGGGATGATGACCAGGTGCCCAGTGCTATTCCTGACATCCTGGCTGGGCTGAGGAGTGCGCAGAGAAGCTGGGCAGGCAGGCAGACTTCCTGGAGGCCAGGAGGCTTCAGGTGGGGTGAGGTGGAGTTTTTGTGGCAGGTAAGGAAGGGGATCAGGCTGGGGAGCTTGAGCGAGGCTGGGGAGGAGCCATCAGCAGGCAGCCGCACAGAGTGATCTGGCGCAGGTGAGCTTGGCAAAGCTGCGGTGGGCAGGTGGGCAGGAGCTAGTGGCAGAGTTTTGTGTTCCACAAATGTAGACTTTATCCAGAAGTGCCCGGAGGGATTGAAGTTGGGGTAACTTGTGACTAGATTGTTTCAGAAATCTCACCTGGTTGCTGTGTGGACAAACTTGAGAAGTCAGGTGGAAGCAAGAAGTCCTTTTACTGGGGGGAAATTTGGTGGCCTGGACCTAGTAGGTGGCCTGAAAGAAGGTGACAGGTTTAGACATCTAGGCCATAGAAACCTGAAGGACTTGAAACTGGTTTGGGTCAACAGTGATCGGGAGGAAAGGGTGCGACTCAACCTCATGTTTTTCAGCATGAGATCCGTCTCCTCCAATCTTGGGGCCCTTGATGTTGGCCTTTCCCTGGCCTTAGGGTCTGCACCTGTAAGGGTGATGGCAGGGGCTTTTCCACACAGATAACCTCTGTCTTCTTGCCCCATGTTGGTCTACCTTGGATCATAGGACCCTCCAGGCTTCAATTCTCTCTGCCTTCCCCCCAGCCCCCTCTCACTCAGGGAGAACTGGAAGATAATGAGACCTGGGTGTTGGGATCAAGGAGACGAAGCAGGCGAAGCTCCTGGCTGTGAGGCCACTGGAGCTGTCCCGGTAGACTGCCCTCAACCACCGGCCCAGTGCACCCAGCTCCCCTCCCTGTCTGTGCTGAGACCTCTTCTCAGGTACCCTTCCCCTTTGCAGTCTCTTCTCTCTTGCTTGGAAAGACCCCATCGCCACGGGGTTTGGCTCTCTCAATGGCGTGTGGGGCTGCACGCATCCTTTCTCCAGCAGGTGCCTGAAGGTCTGGGTGGGGTGGCTTCTGACAGTGCTGTCGCTGTATTGGGAAGGGTTGAAGCCAATGCCACAATCCTGGGCAGCCAGGCGCATGGCCAGCTGGTACCTGCAGCCCAGATACAGGCACCATCCTTTGAAAATAATGTAGCAAAATGCCCCTTCTGGGAGATCCAACTAGAAAAGGCTCTTGCGCTCCCGTGCTCTAGAAGACAGGCAGTCGTTTGGGCGAGGGCCTCACTCAGGGTGCACGCTGGGGCAGCACAGCTGGTTTGCCACCCCTTGCCCACCCAGCCTAGAGCCCTTGTGCAGTGCACAGCTCATACAGCCTCAGTGACCCCATCAGGTCTGGGCCTCCGCCAGGCGGAACTGACTCCCGAGAGATGAAAGTTCAGAGGAAGTTCCATGCCACCCGGGAAGATACACCAAGGGATTAAAAACAGGTGGGGGTGGGATGTTCAATGACTGGAGACAGAAGTGGCTTTGGGCTGGGCCTTTGGGACCTGGGTGACTTGACCAAGGGTAGGTGAGTGGATCAGATCATTGGAAGTAGATGCTAAGAGGTGGAGCATAGGGTGTACCCTCGGACTGGGAGCCTGAGTGGTTGGGGCGAAAGGTGCCAGATGGGAATGGGGGTGGAGCAAAGCTGAACCCCTGGCAGGGGTGGAGTTGAAGACCAGGTGAGAAATGCTGGAGCAGGAACACCCTCGAAGAAGCCAGACTCCAGGAATTGAAGCCTTGTTCTCCTTCAAGGTTGGCAGCTACAGTTTCCCCACCCCATGCCCTCTGCCCCCTAGATGGAATGTGCCTCCTGGGGCTGGGCCCCATGTCCCACACCCCAACATGGTTCTCAAAGCCTCTTTGTTCCACAGGCCAAGCTGTGGCCAGCCGGGATCTGATAAGGCCAGGTCGGGCAAATAGTGGCCCCGCCCTGTGCACTGCGTCTCCCCAAGCCACACCTGCCCACTTCGCACGCACTTTGCCTCTGCCCCAGATGGGCACAGACAGCAGGGGGCTTCCTCTCCAATCTTGGTAGGGCTTGATCTTTGGGTCTCCTTGTACCCCATTGAAGACCCCCTAGTACCCATTTAAGACCCCCTCTTTTTCTCCTGGGGAAGCAGGATAAGATAGTTACTCCCATTTCAGAGGCAAACTAAGCTTCCAAGAGAAAAAAATTATTTGGCCACTGTATTTCTTTCACAAGGTACTGAGAGTGCTATTTACATCATTTAAAAAATCCTAACAGCTTGTGAAATGAGGTTGTTCCTAATTCCCACTTTGCGGGGAAGAAATCTGAGCCTCAGAGAGGTGAAATCACTTCCCCAAGGGAACACAGTAGCAGAGTCCAATCCAGAACCATGGCCTGCTGCGGCAGCAGAGGGAAGTAAAGCTGAAATCACCATCCCAGCTCACTGGGAAGAAGAATCTCCCAGCTTCAACCTAAATGCTCTGATGGGGCTAGGGTAGCCAAGATTCTCTCAAGGAAGGTGGTCCTGAAGGAAGAGTGTTCTAGATGCTGTAAGAGGATCCCATATTGGTGGGATCAACAATGATTAAAATACAGTCACAAATTACTTGACCCTCCTCCTAGGCAGAGATAGCTCTGTGCTCCCTCCCTGGGCCTGAGGCTAGGTCAGAAAATGCCATGAAACTTTGCCTGGTTTTACCCATCTTGACATTGCCAAGCTGGAGAGGCTATAAATAGGTGTTCGGTCCTTAGCCTTGCTGAGCTCCCAGCCAACAGCCACCATCAACTGTCAGCCACGTGAGTGCGCCATCTTGCACATCAAGCCCAGTGGAGCCTTCAGGTGGTCAGTCCAGGCCAACATCCAAATGCAACTGTGAAAGAGACTCCAAGCCAAGACTGCCTTGACAAGCACTTCCTGAATTCCTGACCCACAAAATTGTAAGCAAAATAAAATGTTTTGGGACCTTCAAGTTTTGGAGTCATTTCTTAAATGGCAATAGCATCAGAAGAAAAGGCAAAGTAGGAACGGGGACTGATGCGGTTACCTCCTGAGGCGTTCCAGAGGCTTTCAACACACATCGACACAAAAGCTTTCAAAAATGTGTCTCCATGAGGCTGGAGGAGGTGTGACACTTCATCCTCTAAGAGCAGTGTGAGAAGGCACACTGACTTGGAAGCAACTTGGCTCAGAGAGAGGGAGATAAAGGGGAAGGCTGGTAAGCACACCTCTCTTCACTCAGTTGATTGACTGTGTTAGCTCTCTGCTCTGATGGCAGGACCCCTGATGACCTTTGAGGAGTAGAGAAACTTTTGGAA